TCAAAGTTATGAGTTAAGAGGTTTATGTGTTTGGAAGTTTACGGGTTTAGAAATTATAAAGTTTACGGGTTCGAAATTCCGCGGTTTCGAAAGTTTATGAAAAATGTGGGTTCGGAAGGTTGTTGGTTTGAAAGTTTATGGCTTCATGTTTATTATATCTAAATTATTTATGAATACTCTTGAGAAGTCATTTTCCTTAATTTGAGTACCAAACACCGGAAAATGAATAAGATTACTACTTGTTTTCCAAGAAAATATTTTCTTGGAAAACATTTTCCACAGAAAACATTTTCTGTTATACCAAACACACCTTTTTTCCTTTGAAATTTTCCATTTTACTTTTAATGGAATGATTTATAGACGCACAAATACCTATGGGTTATTTAGACCACAAATTTCAAAAGTTTTCCACTATTTCTTAACTTCAATGCCCAAGTCAGATAGGTTCACATAAATTGAAACGGAGGGAGTACTATTCAGCAAGAAAGAAGCAGAGAAGGAAGACATCTATCAGTTGGTAGATCAATGAACTCATAAAATGAAAAAGAAGACCTGAAGCTTCAGGTAACAACGAATCCATTACTTGAACACTAGAAAATCATTTTTTTGCTAATAAAGAATACTTAAAAATATGTTAGCTTAATAAATTGGTCCTCTTGTGCAATGCAGGTGGAGAGCTACAGCAGAATCACCATCAAAGATAAGATTTGTGTATTTGGGGTACCTTTTTGCAATGATACATGATTTATTTTTTGCTAAAAAACCAGTGCATTTTATAGTAAATCAGAAAATTAGTTTAACTTAATAATGGTGTTTACTGACACGGCAAGATTTACTCATGGCAGCTTTAAATAAATCTTGAATCAAACCAAGAATCTATAACTGAGATCATGGGCAATGTTAGTCAAGCTCTACTAGTTTGCTACATATTGTAAAGCCATAACCTTAAACATAGTGGTGACATAGCAAAGGAAGACAAACCTCTACATAAAAATGTAAATAGATTCAATTTCGTTACAACAATTTTGGATCTTTGGCTATAATCGAAGCAAAACATGAATGAGTAAACTTGTACTGGGGAAGACTTCAAGCAAACAACTTAAAAAATTTTGCATAACCAATGTGGGCAAATAAATTTTTTTTTACAGTTTCCTGGATATATGACCATATTTTAGGAAAGAAAAGGGTCCAAAAACATTACCCTAACTGTTGGCTGGAACTTAAGATTGGTATGGAGAATAAAAAATCTCAGCCTCCGGAGATGCACGCGGGAAACTCGTCAACTTTGTGGTGATATTACATTCTCCGCAGACAAAGTCTCTCAATGGCTTAACTATCATCCTTACCAAAGATGGAGTGCGAGCAAGCAATAACTTTATAAAAAGAAATTCAGTTTTTGAACCCATGAACCTATGTATGACCACACGTTTGAGCTTGTTGAGCGATCGGTCCAAGCAGAATGGTGTGCTCAAATATTTTGAAACTGCTTCAGCATTGTCTCTGGTAGAACAGACCTAATGGTGCAAAATAAATACAGAGTTATTTGAGCTTTTGAGGTTCACATATATGAAGTTGCAAAAATGAACCAAACTCATACATGTATCTAGTGTATGACCACATAATTTTTCATTACTAACCCTAATCTCAAGTTCACTCAAATTGGGGAGACTCTTAATTAACTGTAGAGCGCCAGAAGTTGGACTGAATTTGTCAAGTCCACAAGTAATGATAGACGCCACAAGCAGTTGAGCGCGAGAGAAAGAATCTTAGGAACCGTATCTGCACCACAAAGTATTCAGAGCATCAAGTGTCTTTTTCTTCTGCTATCTGCCTTTCGACCTCAATTAGGGGAACCAGATGCTAATCTAAACTTGCCCTAATCTGTACAACAAAGACCCCCCAATTCACCATCCGCTAGCTACTGTTCACAAAGAGGGATGATACATTTTTAAAAAAAGGAAAAGAAAAAACGGCTAGTATTCTACATGGGATCAAGCTTCAACTCCGTTCCTTTGACATTAACCAAACAGCTAAAGACAATAATCAAAGTTAAAGACTTACTGAGGAAATGTGGAGAGATTTGAGTTTGAAATTTACCAGAGATTGATGATTCCAGGAGGCAAGCAAGCAACGCAGACAACGAGAGCATAGTTCGGACAAGTTTGAAGTGTGCGTATGAAAGAGTTCCTAAGAATTTCCAGAAGTTGGGCCGGTGGGCTACATTCATAATTTGGGCTACAGACAAATTATTCTTTGTTGGGTCTGTAGGCCCAGGTTTGACTGTTTCTATTTAGGGATTTTTACCTATCTATACCATATATCAAATCTTATTATCAAAAATGTTCATAATTTGTTA